TCTCTCTCTCTCTCTCTCTCTCTCTCTCTCTCTCTGTCACTCTGTCTCTGTCTCTCTCTTTCTCTTTCTGTCTCTGTCTCTCTCAATCGTCAGCTTTATAAGCACTCAAAGAAAGTACTCTCCACTTAGTTGAAAGCTTTTTATGCATTCATCACCATCAACAAACAGCTCACCAACCCCCCACCCACCCATCAACCGTAACCCACCAACCCACTAACCCACCATCTTCCCTCATCATTTAATCTTACAAAAGAATAAAATCGTACAATATACCTGATCAGTGTTTCTTTCTTTATTGAAGCTGGATACTATTACACTCGTTCTTAATAGTTCATCATTGCTTTCGTTTTTCTGCGTTTAAAAACAAACAAATTCTAGTTTAATGATGGATGTGGTACTTACGCATGTGCAAATTTGCATAATTATTACACTCCTGTAAGCCAGCGACCAAACATATTGAAATAAACAAAAACTCTTTCGTCTGTCATTAAAAAGTTTCTTCGCATGGCCCTTTTTGAAACACGGTACCGCCCTTTCGGCGCATGCGCATGATCACTACAATAAACGATTTGCTGTAGTCAAGCCTGCAAATTATTGTTCCCTTTGAGACACCGACACCACCCTACCTTCGCTCGATATATATATATAGATCTATCGTTACCATGCCATAGAATTCCATAGTTCTATCTATCGGACATTTTGGCCATTTTTGAGTTACTAAGAACATGAGATCAGAAATCAATACTTTATCTACTCTATCAACATCGTAAGATTGTTCTGAGTCATTATCAAGATATTCAAAAAATTGCATTCGGAAAACCTTTACAGGTTGTGAAACTCAACATTCCTGATGTTGCATATCTCAAAAGTAGGCACTGAGCAGATAGAACTGTGTAATTCTAAGGTAGCGATATGCTGCAAATCACTTAATACTTTTAAAGCGACATTAGGCTAACGTGACTAACACCAAAGAAAAGATGTCTGAACATTCTTGTGCATTAACTGTCTCTATTAAAGGGGTTATGTTGGCCATCCACCTTTTAGACCCGCTTGCAAAGGCCCGAGATGATTAACCCTATCCGTACGCCCTCGGGTCATTTTGTACCCCCGGGGTTGTATTCTTCACATTTTAGAAAACTTCTAGTGCGAAGATCACTTTGAAACATTCTGTATTTCTTTTTAAAAATCTGCTAATGAAAGCGTTCGGATCGGATTAACGAGTAAATTTCCTCTTTGGAAAAAGGTGGTACAAAGTTCCCCATGCCGTATGGATACGATGGTTAAACACGACGGAGGGATAGGGCTAAACAATTATTTGTTTTTTTCCTGATTTAACTGCAGCCAAACGAAAGTGAACAAGCCACATGTTTATTCATGAATTATATTGTTTTGTTCGTAAAATGTATTGTTGTGATGTGCTCATCGTCACAGATCGTGTTGTGCTAGTATGCTTGTTTTAGTAGAGGTTTTACGCGCTCGCAACTGCATAACTTCATATGAGCGCCAGAAAGTAGAGGCGTTACAAGAAAAACATAAAAAAGAAGAAGGGAGATACGGACGATAGATGTGTCATAGGAAAGAAGAAGCAAACCACACCCGAGCACCCGCCAACCACCCACTGTGTTAGTATGAGCGTATGCATGCACGTTCAGTCACGTGCATTGTGCAACTATGAGAAGGTTATTATGTGAGCATAAGTTGGTGTGAGTTTGTATGTTGTTTGTGTGTTTTATGTATGAGCATGTATGTGTGTGTGTGTGTGTGTGTGTGTGTGTGTGTGTGTGTGTGTGTGTGTTTATGTGCGTGTGTTTATGTGCGCTAATGTGTGTGTATGTGTGTGTGTGTGTGTGCGTGTGTGTGTTTGTCAATGGGGA